GATTGCAGGTACGATAAGTTCCCCTTTTTATTTTGATGAGTGCCCCCTTCACCTCTGATAATTGCTCTATTCAAAAATTGAATAATCAAAAATTTACCGGTGCTCCCCTTCAAACATTTCAAATAGCGCCTAAGTCCATTCCATGGTAGCTGCGACCATGACAATCTCAGAATATGCAGTTCTGATATATAATTTCAAACTGGGAATAGCTACTCGGTCGATAGTAGTCAAGAAACATTGTTTTAAAGCTGAATTAAAATCAGTCTTGAGAGAGAGCTATACAATATAAAGGCGTTGTGGCGTGCGCCTGTAATCCAGCTAACAGTGGAAGTTACAAACTGATTCAGCCGAGGACGCAGGTTCGAAACTGAGTCACGTCTTTCGGATGGTGACGTTAAAAGGTCGGTCCCAGACGTAAATAATCATATCTGATTGATACACGTCTGTAAAAACCTAATTACACACACACACACACACAATTTATTATTTACAATTTCATCACTTTAGACTCAATTTCAACCGCGGCAACGATCATTAAATATTGTAAAATCGAAATTGCTTCCAATATGTTCATTTAAACGAAATTAATGACACCATGCCAAAACTTTGTATTACCTTAAATGTATAAAAAGAAAAAAATATTAGAATCATTCCTGATAATGCAAATCACAATTTCGGGGTGTATGCAGTGTCCTTTTTTTTGCCCCTTCCTCCCCCATTTTGGAAGTCGCTCCGCCACCCCTGTACAGGCATATGAACATATGCGTTTATACGGCAATTTTTTTTTTCGCGGAGGGCTCAACGATGCTTGTACGAATGTTAAATTTGCAGTGACAATAAGTAGAATAGAAAAACTGAAAGTAGGCGCGTACGCAGGGGGTGTTTTGGGGGTTTAACCCCCCCCCCTCAAATAAATTTGTTTTAACAAAACAAAACAAACAAAACTTTTTTGGCGTGTGTGCTAAAGGGAGACCAAAAAATAATCTGGATTTATATAGCGATTAATACTGAATACCGTTTCTCAGCGCTCTACAGATATCATTATAGTATGGTATACCTGTGAATCATCAGCGAACCATTTTTTTCAGTTTTTACGTCTAACATCTCGTGCTGTTTGTACAGATAACCAAAGAACAGAGGAAAAATACGTAAGGAACATGATCTAAACACGCTTGGTAGTTGTTCACGAATTGCATTTATCTTTGAAGTAAATAGTTTACAGTAACATGCCTTTAATTTAGCATTGGGTGCATGTTTTTACATGTCTGAATCCAATCTTAAAGGGAAAATCCACCCTGATATGAAAATGGTTTTAATAGAAGCAGAAATGAGACAGAAATTAAACACAAATTGGCAATTCTGTGACGTATCTTTTGAGGTGCTTTCCATTTGCCCTGTGCACGTACTAAAAGTAATTAAAGATCCACATTTTCCTTTAGGAATATTTTCATTAAACCCTTGTGTGAAACAACTCTATTCTGTCATCAACAAGTGAGGAAAGAAAAGTTTGTAACACTTTCTGTGCATGGGAAATCGGTGAGTAGCTTGCACGATACGTCACAGTGTTGCCAATTTGTGTTTCACTGATTACAACTTCAATAATCCATTATTTTTCTATTTTTAATCTGCTATTGCTCAAACTTTCACAAATTTGTTTCTCTCACTTTCCCCCACTTATTAAAACCAACTTAATATCAGGGTGGAATTTTCCTTTAATAGCAAGTTGCTCTTAAAGAACCAAGAAATACCAAAGGAGTAGATGTGTAAAAGTTTGAACAAAATTGGGACAAATTGGAAAGTTATGAATTTTGGAAAATTGTATTCATTACCCATATGGGAATTTGAGAATTGCCAAATAATTGATTACGATACCTGTGTGATATAGTGCCTGAAAACTCTACCATTTGTTTCAACAAAAATGATAATTGAAATAGACTATTCCATAACAATTTCAAATTGAAATATCCCATACTAGTTAATAGCTAATCAGTGATACAAACAGCACAGAATAAAAAAAAAATTGTTGTGTATTTTCTATTTTTCCAATATAAAAATAGAAGAAAAAGAGTCTTCTTCAATGTGGGAAATACCATCAAAATGTAAAGAAAATAGCAACAATAACTCTGTTCTTCCCTTCCGTTTGCTCACAGGATAGGGAGAAAGGGTTACAGAAAGGAAGAGAGAAAGAGAGAGAGAAAGAGAAGAAATGAATGCAATGAATGCAATGGAGGATAAAATAGGAGGAGGAGGAGGGAGAGGGAATGGAAAGGCGGATGAGAGAAAGCTGGATAAATGGGATGAGAGGAAGTTAGCAGGAAATTAACTCTTTACATGCCATGTAAATATTGTCCTTGTGCCGCTCTGAATTTGGCATTTTTTTTACAAGTTTCCAGTGCAAGAATTGTATACCGGTATCAACACCTGAAAGGTGAAATTTTGCATTAGGCATTGTGTTGCTCAAAACAATTTTTCTGTCGATTGGTGCCTGTTGTTTTGTGCAAAATCGTACATGTGGTAAGCGATTTACCATGCACAGAGACATAGAAAGCAACCAAATAGTTAAGATCAGAGAGGCATGTATTCACATAAATAAAGGGGTGGGGGAATGAGAATATGCTGTAACAATTGTAAAAAAAAAAAAAGGAGATCTGTAAATTGAAACTGATTAGCTCATTCATCTAGCTGTCATGTCAGAGGTGGTTGCAATAATTTTGTATTACAGTGATAAATTCTTATAGATGTGGGTAAAGTCTTAAATATATGATCTTTGTCCTTTTTTCCTGTTTGGTAAAAGCTCTGTGATGTATTAAAGATTGTAAAGGCTACTCACTCTAAGCAAACAATTTTGTGCATTTGATCTGTAACTGATCTGTATTTGTGGAAGAAAAGAATATAAAGGTTGAAATTCAAGAGAAACAAGAATTTCATGCACGAATGTACATGTCATTGAGGGGATGTACAAATTTATGTATCTGTCAAATTCTTTTGCAATATTATATCAAGTCTTGCTAATTCTACAGGTGAAGGTTACTATTTTGTAGTTGGTAGTTGTCTAACTGAAGGTATAATTTGAAATACTGTAAAATGATCTGTTGGTTATATAAGTGTGCTTAAGGATGAAGATTTCTTTCATTGGACTATTTCTATAATTCACCTTTTCAATACCTACTTCATCAAAGTATTTACAGTATACGCCGAAAATCTCCGCAACACGATTACACGGTAAATTTTTTGGATTACACGGGGTACACGATTCACCTAAATCGTGTAGTCGTGTAATCGTGTAAATAGTTATAATGGTTATTAGGGGAATTGGTAGGGTGATTCGACCGGCTCCAACAATCGTTTAATCGTATCTTGCTTACACCACTTGCTTAAAGAGAAGGTTGAGTTCTGGGAAGAGGTGAAAAATAATTTGTGAGCATTACTCATTCTTATTATGCAAGTGTGGAAGAACATCAGTTAAGACATGTTCCCTCAGAAGCATGGCTCTTCAAAATGCCTTCATATTATAAATATGCATGTAACATCGTAAAAATCGGGGGCCGGCTTTTTACGCCACGTGTTCGTGTAGTCCCATATACATCTTTCTGTGCAAGTGTTTGTAACTTTACCAAGACTTGGCCAAATTTCTTATCATTTTGATGATTCCAGAACCTTGCAATACACACAAATTCTTATATGCTAGATGATCAACCTTTTCTGGTCGGTTCCACACCGTTTCTTTCACAATGCAATCGCATGACCAGAACTCAACTTCATCTTTAAACCAAGTAATTGCTCTATACACCAGTTGCCTACATCAGGTAATTACTGTACTTTATATTCGTGTATAGGCCTAAACCTCATCACTTTCTACTAACCTGTATCGTATATTGATCCATGAGACAAGGTAGGAAAACGTCAGAAAGAGGAAGACAGGATAGATGAAATAGTACAGGAAAAAAGATAGCTACGAGGAGAAGAGAACAAATTACAAGGAAATATGGGTTGAAATGGCACGATAAAGATGAGAAAACACTATGCAAGAGAGAGAAAAAGGAAAACGCAAAAAAAAAGTTGACCGGAAGAAAAGAAAGACGAAACATAGTGAAAGAAATAAAAATGAGAAGTAGGAAGGCTATGAAACAGAGCGGAAAAGAGAAAGATAAATAAGGTAAGAGTGGAACACAATGAAAGAAAGAGAGACGAGAAAGATAGGGCAGTGGAAAGATATTGAGAGAAAGAGAGAGAGATAGATAGAGAGAGTGTGTGAGATAGAGAGATAGTGAGAGAGAGAGAGAAAGGAGGGATGAAACAAACATTAGTTGAAAGAAAAGGGGCACCGATTATATTTTAATAGGGGCATTTAACGGAGTTGGTGGGGACATTTATCAAAAGTGAAGAGGGGCACTTCTCGTACCTACTTGTAGATACTTAATTGAGATGAAAAAGGACACTTATGAGAATGGAAAATGGACACTTATTGTAAAAGAAAATAGGAACTCATTGAAGGAAAAGGGGCGCGTGTCAAAATAAAAGGGGCAAGCTTATCAGAGTTTAAAAGGGGAAGGAACACTTTAACAAATCACACATGTCTGGGGGTTATTAGTTCTGATTTGAATATTTTGCTTCTCAAAACATGCTACACTAAAATTTAAATGCATTACGTTGCTGATCAACACAGGGTTAGGTATTGAATGAACATGTATTTTCCCAGTGTACATACACATATGTTTATGATACTAAACTTGGTGTATTAACAAGTGTAATATCTCAATGGCAGTTATGTTAATTTCCAGCTCCAAGTACTACTGATGTGCTTCTACAAATCTGCAATAAAGTTATGATTTCAATAGCTATGTATATTTGCATTCTGGATGCATCTTAATGCAGCAGTACGCTTCTTTGATTATAACTGAGTCTTTCAAATGCAGTTTCTGAATGCGTGGAGAAAGATGTACTCTAAAGTTGAATGTATCAAGCAACAGTAAATTTCTGTTCATTTTTTTATGTTGCAGGTGAGGTTGTTCATATCACAGTGCTGACCGCGGGATACACCAATGTAGGTTCATCTAGTGGTCAGTATCTATGTTACCGCAGTGACCAAGATACAGACGCTACACTATTATTTGGTCGAACGGCACCCATAACAACAGACATATCACCACCACCAGATGTAGGACACTCATTGCCAATCGTCAGACGGGTCATATTCCCTACAGGAGGTGAATGGAATAATGATGGTTTCGGCCCTTTCTACTGTGAGGCTTCTAAACCTGATCGAGATGTTACAAGGGTTACTACATTTTTCCAACGAAATGATGGTAAGATTATTATTCCATTCATTATGATAATAAGTATAGGATTTCCTTAATTTTGTAACATTTATTTTTCGATGTTTACTAAAAAAAAAAAGCTTCCTGTAGTGAAGTAGTCAAAGTGAAGTTCCGAGCATATTCCATGTGAGGTCATTATGAAGTCAATTTAAGGAAAAAAAAGTATTGCTATTGATGATTTTGAAATTCATGAATTGTCTGTCAGATATCCTGTCTCCTTAAAATCTGAACATATAAATATGACAAATTTGTATAAATTATTAACTGAATTATCAAAAGTAATTACAATTGCATTTCCTTTGCTTCATAGAATGTATAGTGTTATCTTTTATAGAATTAATATTTGTACATGTATATTTCATGTACATGTCCGTCATACATAAATAACCAAAATTATTCTCAGTTCAAATCCTGAATTGCCAATGAATGTAATCAATTAATATCCCAAACACCTGATATCAATGTTTTTTCTGACAGATCAGTATCGCGCTTTGTAAATAGGACGAAATAATTCAAATCAATCACAATTTCAACAGATCTATATATTATATTGCCATGTAGAATAGAGAATCAAACATCATATTTTGTTATGCGAGAAAAGTTGAAATGTCATTGTTGATTATTAGTTGTTATTTCTAAAAAATCTTCGCAACGCGGCTTTGTTGTAATGATGTTTTTCTATCAATAAACCATTATCTCTTTCTAACAATATAGACTGAGCTTATATTGCATTTTGGAGATTCCTCAAATATTAGAGGAATCTCCTCAATACAAAGATATATCAAGGTTTAACAACAAATCATGAACACCGTCATATTATTACTCATTGAACTTCACGGAGTGATCCTCTTTCAAAACAATAATATAATAATAATCCGTTTTTTATATAGCGCTCAATACACCAATCCAACGACGTCCCTAAGCGCTTTACATATATATTATTACCCCGGTCATCGGATTCAGGCTTACCCACACACAATGTGTGCACATTTCCACTCCCTGGGGAGCATTACAATGCATTTCTATTGGCCCATTTACACATCCCAAACACAAATTTGAAGAATCATCAATTTTTGTGACTACCATTTACACTACTATAAAAAAACTTATTTAAAAAAACCGTTGAAGTTTAATCATACCGATTTTGTTTGTGAGTAGTGCGCATGCACCACTTGTCGGTGCTCTGCTGCATGCGTTACCATGGAAGCGGGGAGAGTATGTGAGCGATAATGCGTATCTTACCGAAGGTTGCATTTACACACTGCAACAAATCTGTGCAATCTTGGCAGGCGTTTAAAAAAAACTACACTCTCGGGGAGTGTTTCACAAAGACTATGATCGATATAGATTGGACTTGAACTATGGCAGGCTGTTCATGTCACTTTTTTCTCGAACCATTCCTGGCATTGATTTATCAAGGAACGTACACATCATGGTCACACATCTACAGAATTTACATTTTTGTTATTGTTAAGTATTGAAAGAAAAATCTAAAGATCATATCTATGTTTTTTTCCCTCTACTTTTACATCTTGGTTCAGGACTTGTTAAGGGCAGAAATCGCATTTGCAATAGTATAAATCCAAGTCTTGAATATAACTTAAAAATACAATGTAAGAAACTCTCTTTCTTCAACAATGAACTATCAAAAAATGTAAAAACAGGTACTGTGGATTTTTTTGGCAAAGAAGCGTTTATACCGCAAAATGGTTTACTGAGGATCAGGAGTGAGAGTGATTCAATAAACTAGCTTTTGAACATTTTTTGCTTGATAATGGCTATAACAAAGGTTTTGATACATATATACTGAGAATGAATCTGAAAATACCAGAGAACGATTTTTTAAACAAATTTTCAGACTTTTGTGTAAATAGCACATATTTCAAAAGGTTATCATAAAGCAAAGGATGCAGGGTAATGCGTTAAGCCTGAACATGCCCATTTGTGCTGATGTTGTTTACTAACATTAACATTGTCAAACAGAAGTCCAAAGATTTTGACATACACCAGACTAGTTGCGGCAATGTTCGAATATTGAAAATGATCTAAACTTGTTATTGAAAAATATCAACAGGAACAAATTTATTCCAATATGCAAGTAAATATTTTTCTATATATATTTCAATATACATGTACATGTATGCAATTCCTATATAAATGTTTTATTTCCTTCATTGAGTAAATAGCTACAGTGCACATGCCATGTACATTACATGTATGCTAAATGTATTAAAGTTAACCTTTGTTATTTTGTTAATTTATTATTATCATCCCTTTAAACAGCTAAGTTTATATCAAGCGATGGATTGTTTACAAAGACAGTCAATGTGAATGAGACCGGAGTGATGATCAGCATGACTAGGCGTTTTGATCCTGATGCGCATGACAATGTGATTACTTGGATGAAAGATGGAAGTGAGGTTCTTACATCATTTCGTGGGCAGACTGAGATCAGCTTCCCAAACCCAATCCAGACATCGGACCAAGGAATCTATGAGATCTACTATGATAACAAGAGGAATCAAAATAGAGGAGGATTATACAGACTCATCGTCAGAGGTACATGTATGATTTTTTTTCCAGCTGAGTTCAGATTAGGCTTCTTGAAAGGGGTTATATGTTCTCCCAGTCCAAGAGAGTATTGTTTATTTATAATGCTGTAAAAGTGTTGCTTCATACTTTGCCTAGAAATCCAAATTTGTATTCATTAGATCATACAAGTTACATGTGGATGATGATATTTACATATTCATTTATAAATCATTATTAATGAATAAATGAATGTAAAATATTCTTTAAAATGTTGGATTAGAGCAGTCTGGTAGATAATGTCCAAGTCTGATCATTTGTGATGGCGCGTTATTGTAAGATGGACAGCTCTTACTCTTTTGCAAATTTTATTTCAAAAGATTTATGAGACTTAAAATGATACAATTCAGATGTGAGGATATCATTATATGTGATGCGATTTGTACATACGGTTACTTTAAAATTACCCGGATGTAAATTCAGAATGTGACAAAGCCAATGGCATACACTATACTATACTGCTACGCTCGAGAACATTGCTTTGTAACCTCTATTCCGCTTATCTTCTATCTTGTTTCATCTTTGTGAAGATGTAATGTTTAGTGGCATGTATTTTATTAAATTATTTTGTCTCTCTCCCTATATCTCATATTAGAATGCCCTGCTGGTAAGTGGGGTCCTCCTGAGTGTTATGGTATCTGTGATAAATGCTACAATGGTGGAGTCTGTGATGACAAGTCTGGTCTGTGTATCTGTCCTAACAACTTCAAGGGACCGAATTGTTTAGAAAGTAAGTAAGCCTGCAAAACTGTATGTGAGTTAGGTTGAGTTGAGTTGAGGTTTTATTGTCCAAACGTTCAAAATCATTTTTAAGATCATCTGTTTATAATAGATGAATTGAGGAAGATATTTTTTGTCTTATTCCATTTAAAATAAATAGAGTTATATTTAATGTACATTCCAAATATTTTGATATCAGGAAAGCAATCATACTTGAAAATTTTCTCAAGAAATCTTATTTCTTATGCAAGTCTATAAGGTTTTGATTCAAAATTTCAACTATTTTGTTTTCAGTTTGTAGATCTGATGGTGGAAATCGATTTGGATGGAACTGCGAGTTTCGATGTTCATATAGGAGCCCTGTTCCTGCCACACAATGTCATGGGCTTCTGTTTTGCCTACCTGATCCTTATGGATGTTCATGTGACGTCGGTGCCCATGGTCTTGCATGTAACACACGTAAGTCTTCAATATTCTATTGATTGTGCTCAAATTATGATAGTGAAAATACATGTGCCTAGGAGGCCTAAAATTTATCATACATGTACATCTACAATTCTCAGAAAATTGTAATTTGTCTTGGAATATCAAAAGCACATACCATAGTGTGGCTGAGTTCATGAATGAGGTCAGGGGTAACTCAGTGGAGAAGAGAAGGAAAAGGAGAAGAAGAAGAAGAAGAAGAAGAAGAAGAAGAAGAAGAAGAAGAAGAAGGAGAAGAAGAAGAAGAAGAAAAAAAAAAAGAAGAAGAAGAAGACGACGACAAAGGAGAAGAAGTAAGAGAAGATGAAGGATAAAGACAAGTAGAAGAAGAGGGAGGAGGAAAATAAGATAACTTATAAGAAGCTATTGTAACATGCACAATATTTTTTTCTTTCTAATGAATGTATTGTATCTGTCCATCTTGATTTTGTATTTTAAATTATATTTATAGTATGTACCATTGGTACATATGGTCCAGGATGTTCACAGACATGTCACTGTGCAGGCGGTGGTTCATCATGTGACATCTATAGTGGAATATGTGCAGGGGAGTGTCAGACTGGCTGGTCTGGGGACAACTGTCAAAGTAAGTCATGGTCAGCAATGATAACAAATGATATGACAAAAATGCCGTCTTACTGAAAAGTAAGATAAATCAGGATTGTACTTGTACACTGCATGTAGCTATGTAATTGTTGTTCTTTTGTTATTGTCTAACCAAATTGTCTACAGGACTATGGGCGCCTCTATTCTACCCATTTTGAATAAGATCATTCACAATTATATTATCACTTGAGGTTATTATATTTTCTATTTTCGTAGACATACCCACACCAAGTAGTGGTTTGTGGACAACTCCTTGTGTAAAATATGTTCACGTTTATTAAGGAACTGAATGCTTTCTATGATTACATGAATTTAACTAGTGAAGGCTCTGTTAAATTGAAGATTATGTGTAATAATTGTAATCAATTTTGCAAAGAAAAAAATTAAATCACTAGTTCAAATGAAAACAATTTTAAAATTAAAAGTTTGCAAAGAAAAGACTTTTTGCAATAGAAGCAATCTGATTTTTTGTAAAGTACATTTACTATTATTTACTAGTAATAATTGCTAAATTGGGATTTCTAAAATATTTTTTATCATCCCCAGTTCCAGATGAATGTGTAGACGGTTACTATGGATCTCAATGCACTGATAAATGTCATTGCTTGAATGATGAACCATGTGATAAAGATACTGGAGAGTGCCCTGAGCAGAAGTGTGCTCTAGGATACAAAGTACGCAGTGGCCAGGTCAAATGTCAAGGTAAAATACTATAAAGGGTGTTCAAGTTTACATATCAATTCCAATTACTTTATCTCCAGACTACATACACCATGTACATCAAGTATGGTACAGCGTGCATCATACACCAGGATTGTTTTATGTACACATGTATGAGCACTCATAAATGCATGTATGAGCTGTTATATAAATACATGTATGAACACTCATAATTACATGTATGAACACTCATAAATACATGTATGGACACTCATAATTACATGTATGAACACTCATAAATGCATGTATGTGCATTGGTCATATCAAGCACATAAATGTACGTAGTGCTGCGATAGTAAATACATTATTAAAATGTATACTCCGGAGGAGGATTCAAGTATACGAATATAGACTGCTTTGAGGAACATGCATGTTGAAACTGTTGGCCAAGGTAATCTTGAATCTGCCTCAAGAGTTTATTAAACTATGACCTCAAAAATCAGCAGTCATTATTTGTTGTACGATACTCGTTTCCTGTCATTCTACACAAACCAAGTTCTTAGTTTCGACCCTTGAAGCAACAGTGACCTAACCCTAACCCTAAACCTTAACCAAAACCCAATTGCAACCCGAACCCTAACGAATACCTTTGATAAAATACAGCCCGGAACAACTGTTCCAGGAGCAAACGTCTGATAGTATATTTGTAAAGCGCTAAGAGACATTTGTATTAAGCGCTATATAAAAATTAGATATTATTGTTATTATCTCCATAGAATACCTACTAATGCATCACATAGCAATCCTCAACTGTATTCTGTTTCAGAGAGAGGGAGAGAGATCTGTATCCTAGTTATTGTCTTAGCGGAATGAAGAGTTGCAGCCAGCATGGTTGGTCGTCCACCTGAAAGTAGTAATCGAGAGAACAGCAGATCTAGAGGTGGTCCCTGAACTGCTGTTTGCAACAGATTTCTAGTAGTAATGGACCTTTACTTCTTAAGTTAAACTAACTCACAGAAAGAAAATCTATTCGTTTTACCTGATTGAAATAATTATTTGTTTGTGTTTACAACGCTGTTTCCAGTAGACCCAAGCCAAAGTTATCTTTGCCTTTAGTAATCAATGATAATCATTGACCAGATGTTTCCAATAAACATGTCTTTTGTTTTATTTTTTCAGAGTGTGAAGGGGGTACCTTTGGTCTTGATTGTGTTCAGCAATGTCATTGTGCTCCAGAGGCTTGTGAGAAGGAGAGGGGTCTTTGCAAGGGACAATGCCTTGATAGCTGGATTGAACCATACTGTCAAAGTAATTATACCCAGCATATTGTGATCTGATTTGTCTTCTTTTTATGCTGAAAAAACGTTCAGATTAAGAAAACACTTTGGAGTGCATATGAAACTATGTGTGCATGTATTTCATTACGTTTAGCTGTAATTCACAATCTTGCTGAATAGGCTTGTGGAGCAAATACTTTTACCTTAGTTAAAGCAAATTTATTTGCAGAGCTCCTTGAGTGTCTGTACATGCGGATACCGGCGCTATATAAATAACCATTATTATCATTATTATTATTATTATTATTATTATTATTATTATTATTATTATTATTATTATTATTATTATTATTTATTATTATTGTCTGTTGTAGACACTTGAACATGTACACATAAGTTCACAAACTATTTTGTGTTATTTTTCTTTATAAAGTCCATTTCATGTTTTAATGAATTTTCTCCTACCCAATACAAGCAGCGAATCGGTCCAAATGTTTTTCTTAAAATGATTATCGGTTATTGGGAGGTTTTTATAGAACAAACAGTAGTTTCATAAAGCATGTAGGATTTGCATACCAGGACTACTGCATTGATAAATATTACGCAATTGAATTTGAAACACAATAATCAGATCAATATCTCTCCTTGTTTAGGTAATACATGTACAAGTTTATTTGTGTTAGTTTTTTATGATCTTGATTAGTTCGTGATAGAAATATTAATCCAATGAAGTGACTGGGTTGTAATTTTCTAATGCTGTAGACTTGCACATTTGTATTTAATGTTTTTGTTTAATTTGCTTGGTTTGTGACAAAATTATAAATAATTGGTCATTTTTATGAGAGAAATAAATACATTATTTTATTTTTGAATATCATGATTGGCCAATGTTCTAAAAAGTGCATGTAGGATTTGTTTGCCATGTGTATTGTAAGTTGAATGCATAAGGCTCACAGATTTTGTGTTTAAAATTGTGTGTTTTATTTAATGTTCTTCTTTCTTCTTTTTTTCGTCTTGGTTCTTGACAGGAATATCCAGATTGGTTCCAGTGAGAGTGAACCCATACCGACCATCTAGCTTCACATGTTTTGTTGAGGGTATCCTACTTCCCGATGAAGCCTCAGTTGATCTTTACAGACGTACTGGCAGCACCAATGACAGGACAGGAATCACCAGGAGATCTACCACTGTCTCGGGGTCAGAACGGGCTGTTGTCTTTGATGTTGCAAGTGTTTTTCCAGAGGAATATGGGGAATACGTTTGCACCTTTACTGTTGAAAACACCGGCTATCCCAGTACGTCTAATATCAACCCAACTTTTGGTGAGCAAATTGCGTGACATCAGTTTACTCTTGTGTACTACTATAAGATAGCAGTTTAATATAAAGTATGAATTCACTTTCTTTAAATGCAGAATCATTCTCAGTCATGCTGACTGCATACAGGGTTACAGGGGACTGCATCAGTTATGTTGTTGCAGGCTATGATTTCTTGTCAACTTTCATGGCAAATGAAGAGGCAGACGATTGTCCTCCCTCTCCATTAAATTACAACCACAACTCCACCAGAACAACAACAACTGTTACAACATCAATGACAACATAACTACACTGCCAACCACCACCACAACAACAATAACAGCTGCAACAAAAGCAACCTCAACAACAACAACATCAACAACTTTCTCAAAAGCTGTAACAACATCAACAGACATATGTTGCAAAATGTGTGTGAAGCCTTCAGTAACACAACCAAATAGCCGAGCCTAGGGGGCATACTTAATAAACTGCTAGGGTACGTGTGGGGGAATTGGAGACCCTTAAGCACATTTGCATAATTTACATAAACATGAAGAATGACACTTTCAGAATAATGTTCTGGGAATGTGACCTTTACCTTGAGCAAACTCACAGCAGCATAGAAACAATTTCTTAAAATGAAATGCATTCAAATTAGAATGGTGACACGAACAACCAAATCTGTTTCATGATAGTGCCTTTCAACATGAAATGAACAACTGGGGGGGGGGGGGACATGAAATAAACAACTGGGGGAAAGTAGGCCCCCATCTTGGACCTGGTGTCCCCCATTGCCTACACACATTTCTGATCAGACGCCATTCATAATGTGCATTGCAACACCCATACACAACACACAATAGCCATAAGATATCTGTGATGGTTGGCATACTTCATAAACTTTCTTTTAAAACTACTATTTAAGGGCCACCCCTAAATATCTGCATACACCACAACATTCAGTAAAAATTGTGGTTTTATATCAGAGCAAAATTTTACGATAAAAATTGCTATCTTGGTCAATTTTGCCAATTTTCTCGGAGAAAGAACGCATTTTAGTCTTCGAAATGAATTGGATATATGCAGTAGTGTTGTTGAAGGCCACATATGGCGCAATAGCAACATTTGAAGCCAACACGGACATACAGTGATGGGTTCAAGCTTGGTGGTCTCAAATTCCCTACGGTCTCCAATTTCCTACACCTACTCTATCTATTAATATTAAAGACCCACTGCACTACTTGTAGCTACTTGCGCCCTCTTACAACAAACAATGCCTAATCGGTGACCATTGGTCCCCCATGATCCTCTTTTTCTTATGTTAACTGAGAGCTGAGTTGATGAGATAACCACCTGTCCAGTGACCTTGCAGGGCGCTCTAATCCCTCCTGTAAACTATGGCAGATAAGCTTTAAAGGTTACTAAACTATAAATTCATGTTGACTTTTATTGATCTGTAATAATGTATACATCACATATCTGTCGACTTTTTGATGACCATTAATGTCATATATTTCATTTTATTTGTTATATTATTTTTGTTCTACCTGCTAAGCTCCACCCCTTTAAAAAAAACCTCAAAAAGCAAATGACTTTTGTGACATCGTCATGCCAGTCATTCATCAGCCAGCTAGATGAACAAAAGACATTGGTATGTCCCTTCCCATCAACTGACCACATGTTCACGAAAGACATTGGTATATCCTTCCCATCAATAATAATAATAACGTTTTATTTACCCAGGGTAGCCACTTCAGTTATGAAACTGCTCTTCCAGCGGGCCCTGCATAACATAATATGTTATTACTACCCTTCTCCAATCCAATATGCTGAGCGCCTAGATAGAAGGCAGAAGGTCCCATAAGTCTTTGGTGTGACTCGGCCCGGGTTCGAACCCACGACCTCCCGTTCATGAGGCGGGCGCTCTAACCACTGAGCCACCATGCCCGGTGGCTATTTTTTTTATTCCCAAACAGGTTTGGCAATGCTAATATTTCCGGTCATCTGATTGGCTGATATGTTACGTCACTAGCAATGACGTAACCGTTAGGGTAAGTGAAAGGGCTATACAAATTATGCAGAAACACTTTTCATCAACCCATCGTTGGCTCAATCGGTAAGGACAGCGTAATACAATCTCAGAGTCGTGAGTTCAAGTCTCGGTTTATTTAGTTTTTTTGCCTTTATAAATAGTGAGGCAAAGCAATACAAAATCAAAGTCTAATTGTTTCACTATGACCATGACAGACAAAGAAAGCGGACAAAATATACAGTTCCTTGGGTAGACAAAGGAACTTCCCTTCACTGCTATTATGTAAAAAGGTGAATATGCATGTGACACCTGTTCTACACGTTTTTAAATAAAAGCAGTGAAGGGATATTCCTTTGTCTACCTCAGGAACTGTATATTTTGTCCGCTTTCTTTGTCAGTCATATTCATAGTGTTTGTGACCTCTTTCCGATCTGCTAATGACGTATCATCCATTGAGAAGAACGGAAATATAAGAAATTGCAAACCTGTTTGGGAATAAAAATTTCGCTGCCAGGTGACCGGCAACTGACCACATGTTCACAAAAGACAGTGGTATGTCCTCATCCACTGAGTACCTGTACCTTATTGCATTAGCAAATGCATGTTTTTATATGATACCCCATTGAAACCCTTCTTTTCATGGTGTTGCTTGGGTATTTCTGACATGGCAATTGCCTAAACTATAATTTATGACGATGTCACAAATGATTGTTTTTGGAGGGTTTCTTTTAGGGGTGGAGCTTAGCAGGTAGAACAAAAGTAATAGAAAAAATAATATAAAATATATGACATAAACTTACATTAAAAATTCAAAAGATATGTGATGTATTCATAATATTATTACAGATCAACAAAAGTAAACATGAATTTGTAATTTACTAATCCTTTAACACGGAATGTATGTTTTTTTTCGAGACTCCTCTTTGCGATCTTTTGGGCAGTTGATAACGCAAGTGGACTGGTCTGAGCTAGACAAGTTGACTGATACCGACATGAAAGCTACCCGGTTCCAACAAATTCTAACAGCTCAGTATAGATTACACTTTGAACAAATCTCCATCGTCCGTTGGCCAAAGGATAAAGAATGGATGAACAACTATATCAGACGACTGATAAGAACTCGTGATGCACACTTTCGTCGAGGGGATGTTCGTGCCTACCATCAAGCTCGTAATTTTGTTCAGCGAGAGATTTTCCGCTCCAAGAAGAATTTCTACGCCCGGATGATTCAACAGTTGAAACAGAGCGAACCTGGTAAATGGCACCAGCAGATAAGGAATCTAACTGGAATGTGCAAAGCACCACTTCTGCTGAAGAAAACAGATAAACTTCCAGCAGAGATCGCTCATGAATTGAACTGTCACTTTGCTAGGATCTGTAATGAATTTCCTTCTCTCAACTTGGCTGCCCTATCGGCTTACCTTCCTGGGCCTCGTCCCCCAACCATAGATAGGGAAGAAGTCTACAAACGGCTCAGAAGGTTGAATGCATCAAAGGCTGGACACCCAACTGATGTCCCCATCCGACTCTTAAAGGAGTTTGCATATGAACTGTCATTACCCCTGACCATCATCTTCAATAATTGTCTTAAAAATGGACACTTTCCAAGCTCTTGGAAAACTGCATCAGTGTGTCCTGTTCCGAAGACGTCACCAGTCACCGAGTACAGCCAGCTTTGACCAATTTCGATCACACCGATCATAGCACGTGTTTTTGAAGGCTTCCTGGCAGAATGGGTGATGGCTGATATCAAACACCAAATCGATCCAAAGCAATTTGGCAATATGAAAGGCAGCTCTATGTCACATTACCTAGTTACTTGTTACTTGTTACTTGTAGAGGTAATCCCGATGGCAGCTATCATACAGCTAAACTGGGATGTCCGTGCAACGTGCTGGCGTAGTGACAGTGCATGAAGTAATTCAAAACAGTGAATGATGTCTATTATTTACAATAAAACAGTGGACGTGCAAGTAAAAACCGAGACGTGGAGTCTACAGTAGCTTGGACCCAACAGGAGGAGGCAACGCTCTGATGATGGGTAGAGCAGCCTCCTGGAAGATGGTCACTGTTGGAGATGTTACTGCAGCAGCTGATAGGTGGTTCCACGTCCAGATGGTGCGAGGATAGAAGGAGTACTTAAAGCTATCAATGGAAACTGGGGGTACTGCATACTTCAGAGGGTGATCATTTCTGCCCAGATATGTAGCTGGGATAATGTGAGTGGGAAAAGGCATGTTGAGTTGATGATGGTGCATCTTGTAAAACAAAGTGGACTGTGCAAGAAGCCTGCGATTGTGAAGGGTATCCCATCCCAGTTTGTTGACAAGTGCTGTGACTGATGCTATTCTCCGGTAGTCTTGGTATACAAAACGGGCGGCAGCTCGCTGTACTTTCCCAAGACTTTGTATTGATGTCAGAGTCCGAGGGTTCCAAGCTTCACTGCCATACTCAAGTTGAGGACGAACAAGCATTGTGTAGGCTTTGGATTTGATGTTCTTGGTGCACGGTGATAGAGTTCTGCGTAGGAGGCCAAGGGTTCTATTGCCTTTCTGGGTGGCGAGTTTACATTGGGTGTTCCATTTAAGGTCATGGGTAATCGTGACACCAAGATACTTGTATTGTTTTACTCGAGGAATTGACTCATTTAGTAGGATGTAGTCCACTGTGACGGGGTGCTTCTTTTTTTTTGATTGACAATGTAGCACACTTTTTGATGTTGAATCCCATCAGCCATTTAGTAGACCAGTCTGCAAGAACATGGAGATCTTCTTGCAGTATATGAGTGTCAGAGGGAGAGTCGATACGCCGATAGATGACACTGTCATCTGCAAATAGACGCATTGTGGACTTGATGTTGAGTTTGATGTCATTAATGTACAGCAGGAAAAGTATGGGGCCGATGACAGAACCCTGCGGTACTCCTGAAGTAACAGGCATCCATGCTGAGCGAGCACCATTGACGACGACAGCTTGATGTCTATTCGCTAGGAGTGACATAGTCCAGCG